AATTGGCCCGTTCTCCAGGCCGTTGCCACTTTGCCTCTGATTCTGCTGTTGTCCTATTGGTGGTGAGTCGCATCTAAGTAGTCACCTTTTATGTCCCACCTGTGCTTTGTGAATTAGCCACAAAAACAGTCTGATGCTAATGAAGGCTGGAGCGGTTTTGAGCTTCTAATAGATGCGCTTACATCGTCCTAATTAAACCAACAAAATCCTGAAGGAGAAACTCTTTATGAATTTTAGTCTTTTTGAATCTAACGACTATTTTTATGACCTCCATGATGAATTTCATGCATAAGAGACAACCACGCCCTTAAAAGTAGCAAGTACAGACTCAGAAAGCTCACCGAAGCCCTCAGGGGATTGTTCATGAAACTGTGGTGATGTTTTCCTCGTTTTAGCACTGCTGCTTTATTGGAAATTGCTTTTGCATTGATTTGCCGTTTCAGCCTTTTTTTTTTTTTCAGAGGAAGAAATGTTTGAACTATGCTGTCTCCCTGAGAAATGATAAGAGTTGTTTTCCACAGCTGTGCATCAGTGTTTCCCGAGTCTCCCCGCTGGCTGCTGGCCACAGATCACATTCCTCAGGCCAAGAGGAGCCTGCAGGAGTTTACTAAAAGGAACGGCGTTTGTCTCCAAGATGAGATGTATCCTGGTGAAACTCTGATGTCAGGTATCACATACCTTCGTGCCACAGCTTGTTTATGCTGACAATGCAAATGTTGGGTTATTTAATCGTTTACGCTTCTGGAAAACAAATCAGGTTCAGCATTTTCAGCAGCAAATTTTGTGAAAATGATCTAATTAGTCCCACAAATGAAGCACCAATCAAAATGCTGTGTTTTTTGAATGGTCAATGTGTTTAAATGTTGTTTAATTGTGGTGATGTGAAAGGCTCGTTTTCACAATGGCAGACATGGACTGAACTTTTTGATTGTTTCCGGAAAAAAAAAAAAAAAGCAATAATATGACCATCATTAATGTCTTTTATCTTTATTTTTGTCTGATTAAATTACATTTTTCAAATCTGTAAGTTAGTTTTAGTTTATGCTTTAAAATTGTGAATTTAAAATTATGTTCAAAACTGTAATTTCTCCTATAGCCACTAGATGGCAATGATACATTTTATACAGATCATATATATCATAACAGAGACACTGTAAGGTTTTTTTTGAACACTTTTTAAATTATTATTATTATTTTAGAAATAGACTCTGCATATGGAGAAGACCACCAGCCGAAGTACTATTCAGTCCTGGAGCTTCGACAGACTCGTGTTATCTGGAAGAACTGTCTCATTCTCAGCTTCACTCTGTGAGTTTTTGTTTTTCACAATCTCCTCTGTTTTAAAGTGTCTCTTATTCTGTCCTGAGTTTTAAAAAAATTGAACTTACTGATCAAAACTCTTCCCCAATTTTCTCTTTTATGTTCAGTTGAATACCAAAAATATCGTGTCATTTTTTTTCTTATTAAATGCGTGAAAACGAGGAACTTTTTGACATTTTGGGTTTAAAAGCATCATCCAACAACAGATACTTTGATGCACTTTTTTGATAGAAATAGTTACTTCATAGTTATAACATAAAAATGTTGAAAAACCTTGAGTCTTTCAATTTCTGCTAGAATTAAAACAATTTATGATGTGTGTTACAGTCCTTGAGAGGAAGGACTATAACATGGGAAAAAATATATAAAAATATATAAATATAAAAAAAGGTTTTACATAAGGAGCATGGAATAAAACATTTCAAAAAGTTATTTTTGGTCAATCTTCTTTTAAAAATAATGTAAATATGTGTTTAACTTTGTCTTCTCTGAAGGTTTATTGGAACAGGAATCCAGTACTGTTTCACCAGAAACCTGAACGTTTACAGCTTTTACTTGAAGTACTTCCTGCGGGTGATAACGGGCGCCCTGGCTTGCGTCTTCATCTGTTTGTGTGTCAATCACTTCGGTCGGCGAGGAATTCTGCTGCTGTCTGCGATCGTCACTGGACTGTCCTCGCTGCTGCTGCTGGCCCTCACAGAGTGTACGTCCTCTGCCTCACATTCACCATGTTGTTGGACTCAGAAATGATGGGATCTGTTCTTCATAGTGGAAGATTCTAGCTGTGTTTTTCACTAGACTCTCAACCAAAACCGACCACATTCAACTAGTAACTGAGGATTTTTTTTTGCTCTTGGGGTTTTTTGAAATGCTGCGATATGACTGTCTAAAGTAAAAGTGCAGAAAGGTTTCCAGTGATGATTGAGTAAAGTTGTTGCTGCTCTGGTCTCAGATCTCCAAAGCGGGCTGGTGCTGGTCCTCTCTGTGGTGGGTTTGCTGTTCTCTCAGGCTCTTGCCATGCTCAGTGCCTTCTTCGCCTGCGAAGTCATGCCCACCGTGGTCCGGTGAGTGTCTCTGCTTTAGATTTAATCAGTGCAGCTGTCAGTTCATGTATGTCTGACATTATCTTCAGTTAATATTAGGTTGGGAAGCTGTGAGTAAAGTTTTATTTGACCTGCTTTTCTAAATTCCTCCATCTCTCTATCAGAGGCGGCTGTTTCGGCCTGGTGATGGCGGCGGGGTGTGTTGGCATGGCCGCCTCCTCTATGATGGAGCTCCAGGATAAGCGTGGCTTCTTCCTGCACCACGTCATCTTCGCCTCCTTCGCTATACTCTCCGTGCTCTGCATCATGCTGTTGCCTGAAAGCAAACGCAAGTCGCTCCCGGACTCCCTGAAGGAGGGCGAGAGCCAGCGACGGCCGCCTCTCTTCCTGTCCCAACAGAAGAAAGACTGTTTGCCTTTGTTATGCACGCGGCCTCCGGTGTCCGAGTACAATCCGGATAATTATTCCCGCTTGGTTTCTGCCACTAGGAAGATGTTGACCAAAGATAATTTGCCGTACAGGATCACTGGGCCATCTGTTTTGCCTCTGCTGTCGGGCAGCAACACGCAGAAAGGAGAAAACGGGACACAGGAAGACGTTGCATTGTAAAACCTGTCGTCGGCCTCCTCCTGCAGACTGATTTTACTTCCTTCTTCCAAAGATACCTCAGATGGAAAACGTGTCGCCTAAAGCGCCGACACCGGAGCACCTTATATCTGTCTGTTGTTACAGAGGGTTTAGTCACTTCTTCTTTTTGATTTCAGCTCATGAGCCTTTAGTTGTAGCATTTTCTAATCCAACCTTTAGTAAGTATATTAAAGGTTTACACTGGACTGTAATAAGCAACAGTTCTGTCTGTGGTGATGTAGTACACTACTTTCAAATAATTTTTTTAAATGGGGTTGTGTGAAGTTGGTGGTAGTAGTGAGTAGCCATGTCAGTATAGCGAATCCAAGCTGGACTTATTCTAGAGAAAATGTACACTGTGACATTCAAATATTTCAGAAATTTTACTCTTAGTCACATTTGCACATAACAATTGTTTCCATTTCCCCTCCTGATCAGCTGTAGCTGCTGTTACTGCCAAAATATTCTACATGAAACTTCTGCCTCCGTATATTCTGATTTATGTGGATTTCTTCATATGTCACAGGAAAAGACACATTTTGCCGTGTAACGTGTTTTCTTTTGGTGTAGAGTAGATCAGTTTGCAGTTTTCAACAGCTCTGCTGTCATATTGTTTCATTAAGAAAATGAAAATATATTAAATATAATAACAAAGTGATTAGGTGTAACGTTACTTGGTATTTGCTCCAGCTTATATGAAAGAGGGAGTTGATTAAAAAAATGGGTAACACTTTATTTGAAGGGGGTTGAATAAGACTGACATGACACTGTCATAAACACCTGTCATAAACATGAATAAGCCTTCATGAATATTTATGACTGTTGTCATAAAGCGTCATTCGGTAAATTATGACACTTTTAATACAAAGCTGACATTATTCAAAATGTCTTTGTTGTGACAACTTGACATTAACCAAGAAATCATTACTGATATAAATTTGTTATAAAAGAATTAATGATTGCACTTTAAAAATTAGATAAATTTATGTTATTAAAGGTAAAGTTTAAACAGTAATGATTTCTTGGTTAATGTCAAGTTGTCATAACAAAGACATTTTGAATAATTTCAACTTTGTATTAAAAGTGTCATAATTTACCGAATGACGCTTTACGACAACAGTCATAAATATTCATGAAGGCTTATTCATGTTCATGACAGGTGTTATGTCATGTTTATGACAGTGTCATGACAGTCTTATTCAACCCCCTTCAAATAAAGTGTTACCAAAAAATGTAACAGGATGGCACTAACCCAATCTCTAATATTAGTTTACTGCAGGTAAGATAATGTCTATATTGAGCTGTTCCACAGAAACCCATTTAAAAACTAATCATTGTCTCATCTATAGTTGGTAATTTGTGCTGCAGCCATTCATCCATTTTCCTGAAAAACATACAGTATGAAAGCTGCCGCTCCCTCTTGTGGTACCTAAAGAATATCTCAATAGTACCAACAGCAAAGAGCAGCTTAAAAAAATATGATAATCTAAAATAACAGCAATATGTAAAAGTCTTTACTTTTATCTGTAAACCTTATTCTTAAGGTTTACAGATAAGCTTTTTTTAAGCACTCCAGTGCTGCTTGCTGATGAAGGAAGTTAGAAAAGTAGCTCTTTTAAATTGATAAGCAACTAATTTAATAAACAGTTTTGCTGGTTTCTGCTTTGTGGTGAAAAATTGAGTTACATGCTGCCAATGTTCACAGGTTTGTTAAAAAAAAAAAGTAATAATAGTTCTCTTGAAATATTTGTCCTCATATTTTCCAATGCCTGTCCTGGGAAGTTTGTTCTTCCTCTGCAGATGATTATCGTCCTCAGATTGATATCATTTGTTCCTGTGAAGCACACAAGAGGGCGCCAATTGATGGAGTTTTCAATGAGTTACTTAATCAGTCAGATGATGTTCCTCAGTTATTTTTTGTGCCTCTAACAAGCATTGTTGACATAAATACCACAAGTGTGTTTGGGTGTAGTATGTGTTGAAACTCGGAGACAAAAGCAAAGATATTGGTTAATTAAAACATGTTTAATCCACTGTGTGGCTGACAAAAAAAGGAATATAAACTACTGAATTATGGCAACAGTGATGCTTGAATGCTCTGGGATTTGCAAGAACCAACATTCACCGTTGGGCATCTTAAATGACTAAAAACGTTAAGTAATTGTGTTTACAGTTAATTTCTGAAAGGTGGCGATGTAGATCAGACTTCCTGATTAAACCTAATCTGTTGGATTTTTATTTTTTAAGACTTCCCTCATGCATTTAAAAGAAAATGACACTGTTTTCATAAAATGTTCTACTGTAACTCCAGTTTCATGTCTTTTAGTGATCCGTTAATGGTGCTTCTGTAAAGTAAAGATATGAAAGTTGATGACACTTTATTTCTGTGTTTTATTATCCTGTGAAATCAGACATATTTCTTCTTGTCCAGCAGTTCGCCAAAAGCTGTTGATAAATGCTCTTGTAGTGTCTTACAAAGAACACCAGATGGAGCTATTCTCTCACATAAGAGCTCCCATCCAGTGCAGATCATTCTTCACTCAGAGAAAAAAAACAACTCTTGGATACTGTAGTAAAATCAAGATAAGAGTCTAAGATTTGCCCTCTCATGCATCCTTTGATCTTAAGCTTAAGCTCTGCTTTGACTAATCATTGTTAGGTAACTTGAGTATTTTAGTAAACTGATAAAATAATTGAAGGTTGACCAGAACAAAGAGTTTTAATATTAAAGTTTTCAAATCCTAAGATTTAATGAAATGTCACTGCGGAGGTGATTACTAATCTGTTAATGTCATAACAGCCTGGAAAGCCGTAACGAGCAAAAGGGTCAATGTGCTGAGAGAACGAACGGCTCCAGAGACGGTGTAGCCGTAGCTCGTCCTGCAGGGGTTCTTCACATCATCGTATGGAATAGGGCTGTCATCCGGCGAGGTGGTCAACATCGTGTCACGGACCTTAAGCAAGAAATGACAGCAAGCAATGCGTGTGCTGATTCTGATTTCACATTAATCAATAAACACTGCAACTACTCAAGTTTTCCACAAATCCGTTCTTCATGGAAAAGAGGCGGTAAGAAAGTCACTGGAAGTCCTGCTAAAAGTTTGTACTATCTAGAACATATTTGAATTTCCTAAGATCTGCACTATATGACCTAAAATAAACAATTAATCAACAATGCTTAGCATTTTGCCTTGTGCTCTGAAAGTGTGCAGACCTACATTTAAGTCAAATAATAATTCCCACCAGGTACAGGATAAACTCCTACCTCCTAAACTACAGTCACGCTATTTACAAGTGCGCTTTTGGGATGGGCCACCACCACTTCTTGGACCCGATCATGACACTGAACCTTGAGGGGTTTTGGTCATGAAGGTCTACACCTCCCATGTGCTCACTGATCTAGTTGACATCAGTCTCTGTATAGTTCTTCCTCATCTTTGTTTCTACTATGAAATATTGTTGTTTTTCTAGTGGATCAGCAGTTTCTCATCTTGTGTCAGAACCTCGTATGGATCCTCTTTAGTTTTAAAGGGAACATCAGAGAGACAGTTGTCCCTTCATCATAAACTTTGCAGGTGGTGACAGAATGGCACATGACTGATGAAGGGTCAGATCATCCTCTTTTCCCATGAACTGATCATATGCATTCAAAATCGGGCATTTTAAAATGGCCCATCTTCCCCATATGGTCCATGTCTAAGTCCCACTACCAAAATCCATCTTTCTCATAACTACATTGTTGTATGCTTTGTCTGGCCATCACTAAGTCTAACAGATCAAGAACCACACTCAAAATTAATCTTAAAAAGGAAGAAGTTAGGAATTGGAAGAATATGGTATGTATTTAAATAAGTGCACCTAGGTCAAACATATTATCCCACCGATCACTATTGTGACCGTCAACATGTTTACACATCCTGCTCACACACCAAACCACTTTTTGTAAATGCAAAGGTGAATATCATAACTAGACACTTTAAAGATGATGTGCACCAAAAATCTGTTATATGTTTATTTAAACATACATTACTATCCTCTTCTTTGGGAGGGTGTGGCAGTCTTCTTCTCGCCACGGTGCAACCAACATTTAAACAGCTCTAGTCATGTGATAATTTACTCTAAACGTGTGATACTGCATAATTATTATCCAAACACTCTAAACTTTCAATGTTAGCTGAACATTAACTGAAAATGTAATCAGGAAGCTTTTTGGAGTCCTTGAAAGTGTAATAAATTTCTTGGTTACTATTATAACCGGTGGGATTAAATGGGGTAAACATGACAGCCTTTGCTTTCCAAGACGTTTTTCTCAAAGCTGCCAGTGATTTAGTATAGAAATCCTTAGATTCTTACTTAAAGTTTATATTCAAATACATTAAACTTGAAGCTGGAGCAACAACAGTGCAAGACTGGTCTGGTAAAAAAAAAAGGCTGCTCTAACTTTTCCCAAATGGAGCACAGTCCAGCTGCCATTGTTGCTAAAGGTCATTCTGACATAGTGTATAATTCAAATATGTACAAATTGCTGTGGAGGTGCAATAAGGTCAGGTAGCTTTTAAGGATTTATTGTAAGTCATTCAAATCAGCAATCGTTTCATAATTTTTTATTCTGCATCCCCAGGACCAATCATGGAGAAGCAGCTTTCAGCTTCTATGCACCACAAATCTGGAACAAACTTCCAGAAAACTGCAAAACAGCTGGAACATTGAGCGCCTTTAAATCTAGACTAAAAACCCACCTGGTTAGAGTTCCTTTTGAAACACAGTCAATGAAACACCAACAATCTGATGTGTAATGGTGGCAAAATGTAATGTTTCCATTGTTGACTGTGTGTTCTGTGACTTTATATTTTGGGGGTTTTATGATGTAAAGCACTTTGAAATGCCTTGTTGCTGAAATGTGCTACACAAAAAAACAACCCCATTGATTTAATTTTGATTTGATAGCAAAACAAACACAGGTTCCCCAAATCAAAAATAAAGCACATAAATTAAATTATATAAGCCAAGCTTGGGCCTTGTTTTACTACCTACACTGTATTGCAACAATGAGTCACCAAACTCCAAATGTTTACAAGATCAGCACCTTGGCCTGCTACCACAATGGGTCACTCTGAGGAGCTCAGTGAAATCTGGAGCGGCACAGAGATAGGATATCACCTGTGCAATAAATAAATGTGGAAACTATTGGGATCAATAGCAACTCAGCCATTAAGTGGCCATGTAAAATCCCAGAGCAGGTCGGTGGATGCAGCAGGATGTAAACTTTCTGCAGCTATAGGCTTCCTTCTTATCTCACCAGTGCACAAATCAAAGTCCATGACCTGTAGATGTGCGAGTTTGGCATGGAGAAATCTGAAGGACCTGAATTAAGGTCTGATAATGACCCAACAGAACAGCTTTGGGATGAATTAGAGTGGTGGCTGTGATCCAAGCCTTTCTCATCCGACATCAGTGTCTGACCTTATGAATGCTGTTTAGAAAGAATGGTAAAAAAAAAAAATCCTATTTAAACTTTTCTGAGTGTTCGATAAAAGCTGAAGTTGTCATAGCTACACAGGATGAACTAACACCATTATAATCATTATCTAGTTACAATGGGATGTCTTTTATGCTTCTTTCTATTCCTTAATGTTGACTCACTGTTCTTTTCTTTCACAGTTAAAATATTAAAAACAATCCACAAAGCTTAATGCTGAGTATATAGCTCTCACCTTTTCAACCTCCCTCATGACCCGGAGGAGGTTGTTTCCAAGAGCTGCTTTCACTTCCTCATCCGTCCACCCTCTCCTCAGAAGTTCAGCCACCAGATCGGGATATTTAGACACGTCCTCCAAACCCTCAGGAACCCTGGCAGAACAACGTCAGTGAAAAAAAAATCTTCTGGAAAACTCTTCTTCAATTTTATTTAACTGTGATTATGTAAGACTGGCTGGTGGGAAAACGATGATGGATTAAAATTTGCTTATCTTCCCTCCAGGTTTTTACTGGCACTCACCTGGGTACTCCATCATAATCTCCACCAAAACCAATAATACCCGCGCTGCCCACCTTCTTTATATGGTCAAAGTGATCTGCAATGAGAGCAGTAAACTTTACAATCAAGTGAAAGGACAGGGGGGTCTTTTTGTGTTTTTGCTTTTAAGGTAGATGATAAATGTTACAATTTAACTAGTTTTACAATAGCTGTTATGGCAAGACTGTTAATTTACCAGCCACATCTGAGAGGTTTGCCGTCGTGCTGCACGTCACATAGTCATTGTAGAAGTTCACCATCACAATTCCTCCAGTTTTATTCTAGAGTCAGAAAGAAATACGGCATGACAAGCTGAAGCTTTGATGATAGACGGAGATTTGTCCTTTCTGATTAGTTGGACTCGAAGCTTTTAAACTAATCTGCTGTCTAATCTATTGCAGCACACACCTGCTTGATCTGATAATATTTAACAATTTAGCATAAAATATGCCTTCTCATTTTATTGACTGCAGTTTGATAGTGGTCATTAAGCGTGTATGACATAAACTGAATTGTTTTATAAGGTTTCACTTAAGCTCTGATGACACCATAAAAGGCTTTTAAAAGTTTGTTATCTACAGCAACAAAAAAATAAAAACAGTTCATGTTATGTAACAAAATCAGCAAGTTTTCATCTTTGCAATTTCACAATTTTGCTTTGTAGCACATTTTCTGTTAAGCAATTGCTTAAAAACATGAATGCATTTTTTGGGGAGAGTTCTTCTCTTAGGTATTGGCAGCACATTGTTACATTGCTCAGGAAGCTAAAGTGTAACAAAGTCACACGTTCAGCAACAGCAATGCTGAAAACGGCTGCTTTGTCTTGGAAGCATTTGAGCTAAATTGTGACATACTTTGTAAAAAGAGATTTCATGCAAAACAAAAGCATCCTGTTTTTCTAAAAACAAGACTGACCCTTCTTGTAAAAATCTATCGTTAGAATGGCAGTAGATTTTTACAGAGCTAAATGCAAAAGGACTGGATTTGCATATTTCTTTAGAGACGCGATATCATAACTTTCTAAACTGTAAATCTACATTTTAAAATTGGCTCTTTATATTCCGTGTTTATAGGACTCAGGATAATGAAACTAGTTGGATACACAATTAAAAAAAACCCCAAACAAACAACAACAACAAAAAAACGTTAACGAGCTATCTAAGTACTTTTCTTTGTGTATTGCAGTAACCCAACAGACTCACCAGTCTATCGAGGACGTCATCGGGGACGTTCCTCTTGTGTGGACAGACGGTGTACGCAGAGGAGTGGCTGAAGATAACGGGAGCTTTGGATATGTCCAGGACCCGATTCATCACTTTTACAGGCACGTGAGCCAAGTCGATGAGCATCCCCAGACGGTTCATTTCCGCAATCACTTTCTGTCAACCAAGCCAAACAGGAAAATAACATTTAAATATATTTCTTAGCAGATCGCCTCAACACCTGCAGTAAATATTTGTGTCCATGTTTCACGTCTAGTTCTATTCCCGGCAGCTGACGTCGATTTCCGCCATGTAACAGTCGTTTTACAATCATTAACGCAAAAAGCACCAGATCTAAAGAGTTGTGGCAACAAGGCTGTCCACATATTAGCAGATAAGCCTCTTCTGTATATATTATCTGTTTTCCAGCTGGAGCTTTATGAGTTCACAGATTATCAAACACAAATTGTTGTGCAACTTTGTCCATTCAGAGCCCTGACCACAGAAGTATTATCATGCTAAGCATATGTCCATCCATACATATCTTTTCCTGTACAACAGATGTTGAGAGCCTAACTCAAATCAATCAATGTTGTCAGGCAGTAAAACATGAAGCAGTTCACAAGATGAACTTGTATCATACCCAGAGGTTTTTATCTTTTTACACAGGTCATGTAAAATACATCACAGTAACAGTGAACCTGCAGGAATACAATCACAGAGTAATCTGTTAAACAACCGACTGTGCTTCTTCTTACCTCGCCAAAAACAGAAAGGCCGTTATGCTCAGATGGGTCTGCTCCGGTGTCCACACGCCAGTTGTCCATCCTGATGAGAAGAAACGGGTCACTTGCACATAATCTAAGTGAAAACCACAGTGTATGTTTTTATCCTGCAAACTATATTTATTGTTTCAATCTGTTATCCTCAAGTTGGTGATTATTTGACATTATAAAGTAATTTGCAAACTAATCTAAAATCCAAAATGATTTGTGCATGATTTAAACTAAAAAGTTGATTAGCATGTGTGAACACCAAGATGACTGCAAACTTTATTCCGAACCCAGCTATTTATTTCCTTCTTATAATTAAGAAGACTTAAATAATTTAAGTCTTATTTTGAAAGAAAATTAATTGTCGATAGTACAGTATTTTCCGCACTATAAGGTGCACCTAAAAGAACCCTTCAATTTCCTCAAAATTGAAGGGGGTTTGGGGTTTTTTGAGGGTTGTGCCTTATAATCCGGTGCGCCTTATATATGGACCAATATTGAGCCCCAACAGGTCAAGCAACTACGGTAAGCAGCCCCCCGACTTCATTTTCGCCCGTAGAAGAAGAAGCCCGCGGTGCATGCTGGGATAGTTGTCAGAACGCTGGTTTGTTAATAAAGTTTGACTGACCTCTCTACCTACTGACCTAATAATCAGGTCGTCTGCAGGTCATTTAGCACCACGTTCTCCACGAACATGCTGTGCGCGATAGGAGAGGGGTGACCATCGTCCGGCCACGCCCCGGCCCAGTCGCGGAAGGCTCTCCTCGCCGACCAGAGTCAGACTGTTTAGTTGACGTTCCCTTGAGCAGCTCCATCTAGTGGATGCATAACGTAACTCCAGCATCTACTGTAGAGTCTATTCTATGCGCCTTATAATGCGGTGCGCCTTATATATGAAAAAAGTTTTAAAATAGGCCATTCGAAGGTGCGCCTTATAGTGCGGAAAATACGGTATATAGAAATATCATAAACATACAATGTTGTTGAACTTTCACTGAGAAACAGCAATTCTTCACTCTTTCTCCTATGATGTTCATGGTGATGGAGTTATTTAACCTTTGAGAAATCTAAGTAGAGCTTATGAGTAAATAGTACTGATCACAATTTTATGCAGGTTGAATCGAAGTTTCACACTAACACACAAAAAGGTTGATCTACATTCATGTGGCGCTTTAAACTTGTTTGAAATCTCTTTAGTGCTTCTCAGTTAACACGCAGCTGCAAGCGGAAAGAACTTGGTGTTCAAAGTCTGTTTAAGGGACAACACAATTTCTCCTGATTGTAGTCTGGGTCATTAAGCAGAACATGTCAAAACCAGCCCAGATATCCGGATAATCTGATACGTTGTGGGACAGACTTGCAGGAATCTCCCGTACTCTCCACAATGAAACCTGAACCAAAGCTAATGGACAGTTTTTTTGTGGGGTACATTTTTGTTGGAAACATTTCTTCACAAAGCAGTTAAAAAACAGCTCATAATGTATTTTTCTCTTACCATTAATCCAACCTATGTAACATTTCCGCTTCAGTTTTTAAATCATACTCTGGATTCTATCACAATCAATCCTGAGGATTGTTGTAATCTAAATTTTGACTCATTTATTTACATTTAAATTGGATGTATGTTTGTTTTTATGAAAATGCCTTTAATCCGGTGTGTTGCTTGCTCTCACCAGGGTGTGTTGCACGAGTGCGTGAGCGTCATGTAGCGGACGCCCAAATGGTACATCACGCGCAGAGTCCCAAGGCTGCTGTCGATGGAGTGACCCCCCTCCACCCCTATCAGGCTGGCCACCTTTTTCGATCTGAAGGCATCCTCGATATCTGTGCAGGTTATAATGGGTGACACCGAGTGACACGACTGTTTAAACGCAGGACATAAATGGTCCAGATCATGTGTGTCCAGCTCCCGTCATCTAAGGCGTTTAGAGATCTCTCTGCTTCAGCACAGCTGATTCAAATGGTCCAACTCCCAGGATCTAATGATTTGATTCAGGTGTGTTGAAGCAGAGAAATAACTAAAACATGCAGGGTGCTGGCCCCCATGAGAACTAACTTTAGGAACGACAAATGCCTCACCTTTGCTGCTGGTGGCAAACTGGAAAGTGTCTGGGTATTTTGAACACATCCTGTGGATCACGTCTATCTGCTCCAGAGTTTGCCTGACAGCATCTTTGTACTGCGTGTCACAGGGAACATACGCCGCCCAGAACTGAGAAAGCAGCGCAAGACATTGTGTCAAAGCACATTGAGCAGGGGGAAATCAATTCAACGTTTTTTTTTAACGTTTTTATTTATTTCTGGCCCGCTGCAAACTTTGTTTGGGTGAGAAAACTAGTCGAGGCTCTGAGCCTCGAGTTCTCCTGGGTTACAATGAAGAAAGATCTTCAGATCACCTGAGAATTAGTTTTTCAAAACTGTGACTTTTTCCCTGTGCAGTTTTCAGTCTGTAATGTTTTCTGTCTTATCTGCCAAACCTGATTGGCCAAGACCAGTTGGGCTTTTAGGGTTTTTACAGTGTTTTACTGCCATAAAGTTAGATTATTGCAACTTCATGACTTACCAGACAGCTGAATGACAACTGAATGGTTGATAGATTTTGAATGTTGCATCATTTCCTTATGTAATGAGAGATGTTTAGTTCATGAATAGCTACATGATGCTTTTTTCTTTTTTTTTCACTAAATTTCCTACTTTTCCTTTTTTCTTTCTTTCTTTCTTTCCTTCTTTCTTTCTTTCTTTCTTTCTTTCTTTCTTTCTTTCTTTCTTTCTTTCTTTCTTTCTTTCTTTCTTTCTTTTAAAGACCTTCTATATTTTAGATAGTTGGTCTCCAGTAGTTCCTGCTTTGAACGTACCTGTGCACCGATCTGTCCCTTCCTGATCTTTGGGATGTTGGTGTGTGTTGTATCCAGTGTGTTGAGATCCACCTTGTTGAGTTGATTGTTGAAGCTCTTTCGAAGCTGCCAAGGCAGGTCATTGTGGCTGTTTTATTAAATAAATAATAAAAGTCAACAATCTACAAGAATGTCATAGTCAAAAACGATATCCATTATGATCAGACAGGAAAAGATCGAACTTTCTAGCAGATCGGTTTGATAAATTACAAAGACTGTTGGCTTTTCAAATCTTCTAACCTGAACTTAAAATCACTTATTTTAAGTTCTACTGCTACTAGAATATACAGAGCCAAGATCAGCACAAAAGACGTTTGAACTTGCCCATCAATAAGCGGCGTTTCCTTCATCAGGTCTTGAGCTCTGGTCAAGAATGAGTCCTCAGCCAAGGTGATGGCACAACAGCTGATCCACAGTGCCAGACATGAAGACAACATCAACCTGGGTGACATCTCTTTAAATATAAAATATCTCAGATTCTAATATTTGCTGCAAAAAAAAAAATAAATATATTTTTTGTACTGGCAGTCTGTCCTTCTGTTTGGGTCAAAGCTGATTTCTACCCCTTTCCATGCACTGATCAGTTTGAATGTCAGCTCATTGCTCCTCCTCTGTCATTTCTCTGTTTGTCAGTAAATCACAGAGTGTAATAAGTAGCTCAACTGCAAGTATAATCTGTGGTCTTGTGAGTTTATGTTGGTTAATGTGTAATTTCTTTTCTGACAGTTTTTTTTTCTGTTATTCACTACAAATGTTTTTGGATAGTGTCCATTGTTCTTTTGGAGAAAGTAGTATTATTTTTGCTATTCTAGTGGCCTAAAATAATTTTTTGTAAAGATTTTCCAGAACTTTACTGTAAAACAAGTATATATTTTCTAAAAGGATCAACCACTTTGTCTGCAGAAAAATAATAAAAACAAACAAACAAACAAACAAAAAAAAACGCTCAAAGCATGACTGTTCACTAAAGAAGAAGGGGCCCGGGTTGACAACAGCATGAAGCATCAGCCGAGCGTACCGTGGCACAATGAAAACATGAGAACATGAGACTGAATCATATTACCACCAGTGCAAAGCTTGCTCAACGGTGGCAGCAGGTGGGTGGGTGTAGCTCTGCACCTGAGGCAGCATTACATTCGCTTGCTGTGGCAACATGAGTAGAAAATAAGTCATTTCTGACAAAGACAGCCATCAGGGTCAAACTGAACTTTTGCAGGAAGTACAGCAATGGATGGCAGAAGACTGGAGCTAAGTTATTAAATCTGAAAAAATAAAAAATCACCCTTCTGATAGACTGAAGTGTTTAGAAATGCATTCACCCAGAGAGGAAGGAGCCAGATAGAGTCTTGTGCCAAAAGTGAAGCATTCTGACACAGTTCCTGTGTGTGGTTGCTTGCGGGATTATGTCCTTCTCCCAACGCTGCGATAACATGAAGAGAGGGAGAGAAATATCCTCCAAGAGCAACGTCTTCCAGAAATTCAGACACAATTTGTTGAAGAAAATGTGGCATTAATATTAATTTTCTCTCCAAGTCTGGATTATGTCTCCGATTTATGGTAAATCTCAAAAATGTGGTGCATAAACAGAAGCCAACATTTCTGAACATGAACAGCTCCAAGAACTAAAGAAAGAAGAATGTGTCACCAAGAGTCGGGATCTGACCCGGACGTTAACTTCAGGCAGCAGCTGGATATAAACCAACACGGACTGTAAATCCCAGGTGTTACTGTGAATTTGGTGTTTTCACCAATTAAAACAACTTGTCAAAAAGGTCTAAATTGTTCTTTCACACATGACTGTAGGTTGTAAAAGACAAACATTTAACATTGTGGTTAAAAAAACAGATTGTCCTTTAAACATCTGGAGTAACAATCAGCCCACATCTGCAGGCAGACCTGATGACTTACTGCTTAGCAAAGATCATTATGTTCTTTAGAGGACAGTAAAGTTTAGAAGTTAAATGGTCCCATTATGCCGTCAAATTATTTTTATAACTCACATACTGTATAACAAAGCTCATAACATTTTTATGTCAAACATAATCTTTATGATCAATTAAAACCAAATTGCCTAAATCCTAGAACTATTTATTATTGAAAGATAAAATGGTTGTTATCACGTAAATGATGATAGAAGACAAAAAAAAAAAAATTAACTATCTTCTTGACTTTAATGAACTGAAAATAAGGATCAAAACCAGAACTCTCATTTGTCTCTTTAAAACATTCCTGAATGTTTATGTATATATATAGTTCTTCTCACGGTGGGCTCTGCCAGAATGACTCACTTTTTTCCCCCCAAGCTTTTCCAAGAAGCTTTTGGTTGTGAGCAGAACAGCAAGATATATTGTAATAGATTATGATTTATAGTCGGATCTTTGGATGCAAATAAACATGAGTGTTTATTAAACTTGAACAAACCGACACAACGTTGCAACTTAAACATCTGAGATCAGATGATGGTTGTAGTCCAGTGCCCAGGCTGATTCCGAAAACATTTTAACCCAATTAGCCATCAAAGCTGATTTAAAAAGTGACGTGAAGTAAGTAATTCCTCCTTACAGATTTCTTCTGTTTATATTTCTGTAACATTTTTAATCATCGTCTAACACATTTTAAAATCAAAGATAAATCAAGCAAATATAAAATGAATTTTTAAGCTACCCCCACTAACCTGGTCCTATATGCAGAAGTAATTGCCTCCTTGGTTTTGCCATCCTTGATGCCAACAACTGCCATCAAGCTTTTGCAAAACCAAGCAATGGGTATTTTAGATCACTCCGGATTCATTCCAATAAGATGCATGTCTTGACTTTGACTAGGCCACTCTAAAATCTTCCAGAATGTTCCACTTTTCACTCATCAGTTTAGAGAAAACTTTCTACAGACTTTTGGTGGCTGCCAAGATTCCATTGAAACCATTATTGTTCAATCACTTTCTTATTGTTCAATGATGAACACTGACCTTAGCTGAGGCCTGCAATGCTTTAGGTGTTTTTCTGAGTGTTTTTTGTCAGAACATTTTGTCATTTCACCAAGGTTCACCACTACTACAGGTTTTTCTCTACTTGTGAACACTCACGCCCCTAGATGTGGTTTTGTAACTCTTTCAATGCTTTGTTTCTCTTCTGTTCTTGAATTATTTTAGACTGGGACATGACGATCATTTATAAAATATTTATTCTTTTTTGTATGATGGCCATTCTTGGAAAGTTTTGTCAAAATATCTACTGGCAGACGCCCATTTAGAGGAGGATCTGGCTGAACTTCCTTTTTTGGATTCATGCAATAGCTCAGAATGTCTCACAGAGTCAGAGACTCACTGAGACAGAAGAGCTGCAGTAAAGGGATAGTGAGCATCACATTCATAAATATATAAAGAGAGGACATGGCCAGGTTGGATGTCACAGAGGTTTTTCATGGTATTTCGTATCCGGGGCACCTGCACACCCAGGATTCCTTACATCACGCTCTCAAGTTTCCGTTTCAAGACACGGATGTCCTTATTGTGTCCTATCCAAAGTCAGGTAAGAGGAGGCGACTCTGACCATCAGGACATGCTGCACTTCACTGGTGACTTCTTACTAAGTTAAATTTAATATTTCATGAATTTTCAATAAGTCAACAGTGGAGAGTAGTTGGGCTTTCTGAACGACAGAACACTAGAATATCATCTAATGTGTATTGTGAGGTCTCTTCAGCTGGTCAGGTTGGTCTTAATGGTTTATTTTTGAATTGGCAGCATTTCATGGGAACGGTATAGAGTACCTATGGTGACACACTGTTCTGCTTGATGATGTAGGAAAGTAGTAAGCAAACCATGGGGGAAATCTATTTGAGGAAATTTGCCTTCTTCGTCCAAAACCAGTCAAACTGGTTTGTCCAAAATAGGGTGTGGGATCACATGGATTATTCCTAATCTGGAATAATCCATGTAGAAAATTATGCACTGGGTTGTAAAGCATTTCCTCTAAGCAGTCTGTTTCTTCCTTCTTATTGCTGGAAAACCAATGTATGAATTTTCCAGGAAAGAAACTAAAAGTAATAACAAATATGGTGCAGTCCTATTACTAAAAAAATTTCATACTGATCAATGAGAACAGTAAAACTCAAGTTACATGTCTCTCTGATTTCTCTCAATAGGCACAACATGGATGCAAGAAATTGTGACCCTCATATCCAGCAGAGGTGACCCACATCTGTCCCAGAGTTCTCCAAACTGGACCAGAGCCCCCTGGTTGGAGCAATACTACTGTGCAGATTTGCTGAAGAGCTCAACCTCAACACCTCGAGTTCTGACTACACATCTGCCCCATGACCTGCTGGGCCCCGCCCTCCAGGAGTCCAAGGCCAGGGTCAGATTTACACACACACACACACACACACACACACACACACACACACACACACACACACACACACACACACACACACACATATATATATATATATATATATATATATATATGTTCAGATTTAATATAAATTTAATATAAATTTTAAAATTTAACAACCAGACTTGGATAAACAACATCCACTGGTTTCTCATTTTATTCGATAAAATGAGTTTTTGTAGAAAAGGTCAGGAAATCCATTAAATCTAAAACATAAAACATTTTGAAATGCACATATTTGGTGAGTTTAGATAGAAACGTAGCATTTTAATCAGTGCCAAAACTAATCAGGAAGAGATGATCTACTTGACTAAATTAAGGAGATGAGATGTTTGAGAAAGAAGTCAAACAAATGTAAACAAGCTCTAAAAGTTAAATAGACCATGAACAGGTAGAATTAATAAATAAAAACTTCACATATTTAAAAACGCTGATGCAGGGATGATGTAATGATATTTATTCACTGACGTGTTACTTTTTTGGACACTGGTGATCTTTTCACTTCAGTTTTCCAGCTTCAAAATATAAATATTATATCAGGATATTATCCTATTATTATCCTATTATTATTCTTTGCAAGAGCAGCTGCAACATGCTGGCACACTTTGTTGTTTATCTCCCAACAGATCATCTATGTGAGCAGAAACCCTAAAGATGTTCTGGTGTCCTTTTATCACTTCCACAAGATGGCCAACTTCCTCCCTGATCCTGGCTCCTTTCCTGAGTTTTTGCATCAGTTCTTGGAGGGAACATGTGAGTTGACATTTTTCTGTTTCTATAATATTTTTATTATTTTTCCTAAATTTGGATTTTTTCCCCCATCTATTCTGTTCAGTACACTTTGGCTCCTGGTTTGACCACATTAAGGGTTGGACCAGTCAGGCTGCAGCTCTCAACCTGCTGCATGTCACATATGAAGAGATGTCAAAGGTAAAAGAAGAGCTCCTTCATTCTAAAGTAGACATATATAAATGAAGATAACATTATCACGAAAAATCCAAAAAAACAGTATAACGCAGAAGATATTATTAATTTGTTATGTCCCAAATCATGTCTTTCAAAGTTCCCCCACGATACTTTGAAAGAACTGACTGAGTCATTGTTTAATTGTCTGAATAATTGTTGTTAGTTTTTTTTTATATACATATAATTTTACCAACTTGTTTTGATGTCAGGACCTGCGTGGGACCATTAACAGGGTGAGCTCTTTCCTGCAGCGCCCTCTGCTGGAGCATGAGCTCAATAACTGTGTGAAACACTGCAGCTTCAGCTGCATGAAGGACAACAAGATGATCAACTACAGCCTCATTCCTGATGAGATACTGGATCACAGCAAAGGCTGCTTCATGAGGAAAGGTGGTTTAATTTGTCTTACAACATGTGATCCAAGTTAAATGATCCTCCAAATGAATCGATCTGTTACAAACATCTCACACTTTTTCATATAGAAGGGAGTTTTTAAATGTAACTACATGCATAAATCAGGTCTCGAGAAAATAATGTTCTTGGTACGAACACAACTGAAGAACTTTTTATTTTATGCTTTCCATTTCTACAGAAAATATACTTTTACTTTCTTAAGAATAAAAATCCTGTCTTATTTTTTTTTCTACCATCCAGGTGAGATTGGAGACTGGAAAAACATGTTCACTGGGGAGCAGAATCGATACTTTGACACTGTGTTCAAGTCCAAGATGCAGGACTGCATTTTGAAGCTTGTGTGGGAAAAACCAGAAAACGAGGAATCAGAGCTGAAAGACTGAATCTCCAAAACAAAAGAGATTTGTGATAACTGTGTGAGAAATCATCCCAGAGATGATGAAATCATGTTCGTCTTATAAACATTTATTACATCCAAACATTTTTAAAGGTTATTTTCCAGTATGATATCTCCTTGACATCCTTTGAAGAATCTGTGGTGTTGTTTAGTGTTCATGAATGAATGGTTTTATGTGACACGGGTCAAGGTTCTGTCTATGTTTGGTGAAGAAAAGATGAGACAAACATTTACTGATTCAATACCTGATGTGCTTCTTTCAATTTTTTTCCAAGTTGGACTTGGGTTTTCTGAGAATCACAAGATGTACGTATAGAACCTGACAGCTGTGTCAACACTGCAACAATAAACAGAGGGAGAGGAAAGGTTAAAGGTCTTTGAATCCACAGGGCTGAGCTGTCCTTTTGTATGCTGTCACTTCATTCGCAAAGAAGAAGAAGAAACATGTTGCTTCCCTGCTAGTTAATATTTAGGAGGCCACACTGCATAATACTATTAAACATTTGTATACATTAGTGATGTTTTAATGGCCTAAGGTTATGAAACATGGCCAGCAGCATAAAACAATTACCAAAACAGCAACTGATAATTTTGAAAGCTAAAAATTGGAAGAACTGAGCTAAATGAAATTTCAATATCTGACAATGATTTTGTTCAGAAACTAGAACTTGGGGTTAGGCTACAGAAATGAATGAAAAATGAACGAGAGTCATTGCAAAATCCTGGTGAAAACACGTGTGCATGTGTGTGTGCGTGTGTGTGTTACATATGTGCATGCCACACATTGCCATTCATTTATTTAAAAAGTAATATGTAGAATCTGAAGGACTGTGCAGACACTGGTCCACACTACCAGTGTGTTGTTTGCAGCTGTTTTCTCCAAAAAAGCAAAAAAGACAAACAGCCCCCCCCCCCCTCACTTTATAAAGAATAAATAAATGAATATTGTATTTAGGAATTAAAAAATAAGTATCATTAGGACATTCCTAAAAATATACATTTAGGTCGACACCTTGGCTGCGTTCTACGAAAAATTTATAATTATGTCAATAAAACATATCTGAGCACATGGAGCCCTCTGCTGCTCATCAATTTGAGAATTGTTAAATCTCTGTTGATTAATCAGGCTGACAAGGCTGATGGGCCGTCAGACCAACGTCCAAAAAAACAAACACACACCCATTCATGATTTGCTTCCAAGCTTTTAATATTCACTCACACATCCCAGTGTGTGAGAAATGTCTTCACACTTCTTCAGACGTCTCAGACTTTGCTTAGGGGAAGGAGATTGAAGGGCAGCAAACATCTCACCAAAGGACAGCAGTCAGTAAATATGCTAGTTTGTTCAAATAGAACCTATTCAGAGTTTGAGGTACAGATATTATTTTCTCCTCACCGTTGAAGAGATTGATGATCTGCTCATTGCTGATTTACTATAAAACTTGATTTTAGTCATTTTAGATGCAATGACTTTTGGTTATCTTTGGTTAAAAAAAAAAAGAAAAAAGAAAGATCCTAAGAAAATCTTTCAGTGAGCTTGAATTGTCAAACTGTGGTCAGTGACAATCTAACCAACTGGGAGGTAAACTGGGCAACAAAACACTGTGAGAAATTTTTACTGGAAAAATTGTACAATGTGAAAGAAATCTTATTATTGCTCTTTTTTCACAGCCTGATGTGAAAGTGGTTGCCAGATCTCTGTAAAGAGCCCAATCTCCACAATCGAGGTTTTCTGTTACATTGTACAACATATGTTTATTATCAATATTTTATGAAGAAAATTTCATGCATTGTCTCATAAAGATCTTTATAAATTTCATGATTTTGGGATTTTCATAGATAAATTGCCTCCCAGTTGCAAACTGATGTTTCATGTTCATGTTTGGATCTTCATTTTTTTTTTTCTGTATCGCTGGTTTCAGTCTCAGCAGCACCCAGGCTGCTATGAATCCGAAGAGATGTTTGAGTCCCTTACATAAGACGGTCTACTGACATACTGAATGCTTGAGATCAAAGCCACACCTAAAACTTGATGTGAGTGATGTCTGACACCGACTGGTGGGGGGGGGGAAGGACCGTCTGAAACAATTCATCTTTGGTCCAATGTAAGAATGAGCCTCAGGTGATGGTGAACTTCTCCAGTCCTTTTGTTTCTGTCATAGTCCCGGTGTTGGGAATCAAAAGAGGGGTGCGTCTCCACAGCGCCGCCTCCGCCGCCGCTGCCGCTGCAAGCAGGCTGACCTTTTCCATCTTGATGTTATCTGGCAGCATGACAACCTACGTCAAGACACTGCAGAGAAAACCTGTGTACATTGAACTTTTCTTACTGTTCCAGTCCATTAAGATACAAGATTCTATATACAGCATTTAACTGGGAAACAACATGCGGTATTAAACCATATTCTTACTGCAATGTTTAAGTGCAAAGTGCAAAGAAATACATTCTAAAATCATCATTTTTGTATCTGCTTATCAAATTTTCACTTGCGATGTCTTATTTTTTTTAAATATACATGTAGTCTATCTCTATAAACATATAATTTACGATGAATGTAGTTTTCTTCCTAATTTTTTTGTGCTGGAGAAAAATGAAAGCTGTAATAACTGAGTCACAGGTGTTGTTGTTGCCCCCTGTGCTGCAGCTGGTAATGAGACCAAGAGCTCTGAGCTGAGTCCTAGCAGGTGTTTTCCTCTGGAAGGAACAAGGTGTGACAGTCTTGGCATTTGCATCACATTTAAAGCCCATCAGCTCCATCATCATCGGAGTCAGAAACTAACAGATCCAAGTGAGTCACCTCACCACTGTGAATCTACAAATTTCAAAGGGATCTGGGAATTAGCAGCAAATTATTTTACTCACAGTAATAAAGACATTTGCTCACAGATGTGAGTAATGTGTGTTACTGAGTCTCAATATGATTAGAAATCACCTGACTGAAGATGTCTACACATACTTTGACTCCTTCCCAGTACTTTGAAGCTGTGAATCACATATATGTATCTGTTTTACTGATACAGCTGGATTTGTCTTTGCCCTCATGGTGAAACAAGATAGAAAGTGAGGTTTTGTTCCCATAAATAATATAGTTTAATACTGCAAAGTCAAGTCACTGATGTTCCCAATAAACCAGCAGCTGGTCGTGGCAGATGGTTCTTCATCCTGAGCCTGGTTCTGTTGGAGGTTTCTTCTTGTTTCACAGAAGGAGAGATTTCTACAAAGTTAGTGACTCAATGTGAACAGCTGGGCTTCCTTAGAGAGATTGCCATTTCACAAATGTCATATCATGTACTAAGATTGAATTGCTTTATGTCCAACTCTAGTTGAGCCTTCGTTTGAGTTTTCTGCAGCGGCTTTCTCAATGCTGGTCTCCCATAAGACTTTGACAGGGCAACATTTGTTGTTGGCAGAGTCTCTTCCATATCAGCGGCTGAAGTTTGTAACTTTTGTCATAGGTATCCCTGCTGTCCCCATCTCACTAGTCACTCTGTGTGAAGACGGGCTGATCGAGGACGACTGACAGCTTTTATATTCCCTCCATTTCTTGATAGTGGATTTAACTGAACTCAAGGGGAAGCTCAGTAACTTAGATGTTTTTTTATCCATCCCCTGACTTACACTTTTCATCTAAAAGGACACTTTAATTCACAAATCATTTATTCCTAATGATTAGCTCATTTAATATTTTTGCTTATCTGGTAGCCGTAACTACGATGAATAAAGTCTGTTTAGAACCTTATGATGAAGGGAAATGAGTAAACATTTTTCACAATCACTTCGGTACTTGATGTTTTCTTTATATGTGTGATGGGGCAATTAAATAAAGAAATGTGTAATCAAATGAATGAACCTATAGAGCAGGTAATCATGTAAATACCATCAATTCATCCATCCGTTATTCAACAGGCTTATATTTATTTCACTATTTCCTGTTCCTGAGTTGGATAATAATGTGAATTTATGAATTTATCTGGCTGCCCTCCCATCAGAACCAGTGCAACACAGTAAAGATATCAATGCGGGGTGATTGGTCTGCCGTTGAACTGCTGTGCAGATTAGCCAATCAGATGTTAGGATTTAATTCAAAATCCATATTGATTCTTTCAATTATTTCATGATGATTTCTAGCAAAAACAACAACAAAAAAGAATAAATACTGGAACAATAAATATTTCAACAAGTAATGAATTCCAGTTTTAATTAATGGTTTGTGTATTACATTCATTGTGTGTTTGACAAATTATTGACACACATTGATACATTTTTAATTGTTTCGTATAATTATGATATGTATGTTTAAAATATCCCACTCGCAAATCCGTATTTGACTAATTATTTATTTGCTAGATTGTGATACTTTTAGAAATATGTTTTTATGAACTGCATGAATTTTAAAAAAATCATAATTAATATGAAAAAAGGTCTGAAAACATCAGTCTGTGTAATGTGTTTTACTTAGTGAAGTCTTTGAAAATCACAGCCTGATCTTTATCTGATTTGCTGGTGAAAATGTTGTTTAGCCTCACAAAGGTTTTCACACATAGGAATAATCTTTTCACATAATTTTTTTGTTTTGTTAAAAAAAAAAGTTAATAGTTTATTAAGCCTTTCAAGACTGATGGACATGACACGCATTTTGTGAACACACACAGTGAATCTACAAACCAACAACCTAAACGTCTACCTACATGTTTGCAGAAACCTAAAGATATTTTTTCCCACACACTGCTTGCAAGTCTGAAGTTCTGGTTCCTATTGCAGAGCAACTCTGCATGTGTTGTGACCTTAGTCGGTGCTTTAAAGGAATGCACTGAGACTGGTAGAGAGTAATAGGATTTGACAGGACATTAATATTTAAGAAGCAATAGAGGAAAACCTCTGGTGCTGCGCTTCAGAAATGCTTAAAAAAAACTTACACAAATTTAACTCTGGCTAAAAAGAGGAAACACAATGAGTGCACGCTTCAAAGCACCTCCTGTCTTCTTCTTGTCCCAGATTTTAAGCATGTTGGATAAATTGTGGCTGGAATCAGAAAATGACAACATTCAAATTGCAGGCTTGGATTTTTGTTGGGTTGATTTGAAAATGACTTATTGAGT